AGTCCCAGGGGGAGGCCCGGCTCTACAGGACCCTCCCCAGGAGAAAACACAGCGTTGTCACATACATGTGCTTTATTGAACGCCATTGTGCACATGTGCGTGGAGCAGCTGGGAAAGGGGGAGGGCCTCAGTCTTGGGGCAGGTGATAGGAACCCACGTAGCCGCGATTCAGTGCAGAGGTGTAAAATACGACGACCGCGATGATGACCGCAACTATGACAAGGAGGCCCAAGACCAGGGCCACGGAGTTCAGGCACTTGGCGGTGGACGCATAGCTCTGGGCCCCAATCACGTCTCCCACCATCTTCCGGTCCCTAGACTGGGGGAGAAGGGATGGTGAGGGGTCTGGACGGCCCGGGGGACTGCCGGGAGCTGTGACTCAGGCCTGCCCCTGGCTCCTCCCTGCCCACACCAGCCTCCACCTGCCCTCAGCCAGGTCAGTGACCCCCTCCCTGTTCCCTGGAGCCTGAACAGGACAGGCCAGGGGGGCCACCCTCCCAGCCTCTCAGCATCTCCAGGGCCTCAGGGCTCCTCTCCCCCTGCCCTGGCCCCTTTGCTGGCCTCTCCCCCACCAGGGCTCAGGGTTTCCTGAGAACTTTTGTTTTCTAGCCAGAGCCCTGAAGCCACATGGTGAGTCAGAGGAGAGTAATTTCTGGTTAATCAACAGGATATTCCTTGGAGTCCAGGGGACAAAGGCTGACCCTGCTATTCCCAGGCAGCCTCAGCATGACCTGCACACACACACACACACACACACACACACACACACACACACACACGTGGGCTCCACAATCTCATGGATCATCTGCGCAGCACACCTGAGGGGGCGCCCACACGCCTTCCAGGAAGCCCCCCTGCCTCCCCCCCTCCCGCGCACCCACCTTCACGGAGTAGGCGAAGGCCAGGAAGCCCAGGCAGCAGGGGTTGAAGAAGAGGGTGTTGAACAGGGACCAGACGATGTGGTCGGGCACCACGGTGCCAGTCTGGATGTTGACCACCGTCGTCCCCGCTGCCATCGAGCTCTGGGGACCCCCCAGCACAGGAACAATGTGTTCCTCCCTGAGCACCTCATAGGATGGGGACACTCCGGCGCGGGGGATTGGGAAGACGAAGCTTCGCTGGGAGTTGGGGTTCATGGTGCCGGGGCGGAGCAGATGGCGTGCGGATGCTGATCCCTGGATAACGGAGCCTCAGTGGTGCTTCATTTTTCTGGTAGTTTCGTTTTCCCCGAAGTTGAGTTGAGTTTGGCTGTGTTCCTGGAGGGCGTCCCTGCTCAGGGAGTGTCAGGTTGCACTGGAGCCCAGCAGAGAGAGGCCCAGGCCTGGGGGGGGCGGGGCGGGGAGGTGGGGGGGCTTCCTGTCCCGGTCACTCCAGCCAGGCCTGTCAGCTGCCCCAGTTCCTCATTTAGGGTGTGATGGGCCCGGGGTGTGTCTCTCGTGTCTGGAGTCAACCCCTGAGGGGGGACAGCATGTGTCCCTGCACAGTATGCTTCTGTGACGTCAGGGGTGTTTTAAGCAAATTGGTTTTATAAATCGGAGAAGCTCTGAAAATGAAGTTGGATCCCCTTTGCAGGACTCATGCTCACGTTCAGGGAGTCTGTGCTGTCGGAAGAGTGGCTGGCCTCGTCCCTGGCAGCTCCCGTTATAACCTGGTGATTGTTGAACAGGAAAGGAGGCAAGGGATGGCCAGGTGTGTGGCTGCCCAGTAGAGGTCAGAGTGACCTGGGCGGGTGCCCGCCTACCTGCCAGTCAGACCTGGGAACAAATTAGAGGCCAGGACCAGTGGGCCCACTGCAAGCTCAGGAAACATGACTATTTAAAACTTCTGAACAAAGGAAGTTCCCTCCCCTCTCTGCTGTGGGTGCAGGGAGCCAGGCCCTGCGACTCCCCTGGCAGGATGTGCTCCGGCGCTCCTGGGGCCTGGCCACAGGGACTGATGCTTTAAGCATCTCAGATCCCGACATTCACCCGCTGCACAGGGAAGGGAAGCTCCAGACACCGGCCTCCCTCGGGCCTCCCTGATGGCACCGCTGCACCTCTTCCAGGACTGGCCTCAGGGCCAGGAGACGTTGGAACCCGAAAAATGTAACCACACACCACAACTAAAGCTCCTTCCAGTGCCCGTTCTCCGCGCGGGTCTTAGAACAGTCATGTTCTGAAGACATCGCCAGCACCTCCCTCCCAGGGGGACACGGAGTTTGATTCTCCGGTGACACGATCAACGCAGACGAGATGGACAGAAGCCTGCATGACACACCCCGCTGACCAGGCTTTCCCTACGCACCCCCGTAACGGCCCTCACACGCACGCGCACACGCGCACACCTGTTCCCTGCAGCTGGGGATGAGGTTTAAGACGGCGGCTTGGACCTTTCCTGGGCTACTCTGTTTTCTGGGGTCTCATGTATGCAGGGGGTTCACAAGTCACTAAACTACTGCTTTTCTAGGGTTCATCGGGGTGTATGTGTGGTGTGTTTCCTTTCATCCTCACCTGAGGACGTGTGTTTTTTATTGATTTTAGAAAGACAGGAAGGGAGGGAAAGAGAAACTTGGATCCGTGGCCTCCCAGACATGACCAGACCTGGGATGGAACTGTCAACCTAGGTACGTGCCCTGAGTGGTGACAGATCCTCCCTTCCCCCAACCGGTGGGCGGAGTATGCCTCAACCTGCAGCCCGGAAATACCTGAGTGACTAACCAGGTACCTTATATGGACTAGACATTGGACCACCGATCCACACCTGCCACATCCCCTAGGCCAGTGATGGCGAACCTTTTGAACGCGGAGTGTCAGCATTTTGAAAAACCCTAACTTAACTCTGGTGCCGTGTCACATATAGAAATATTTTGATATTTGCAACCATAGTAAAACAAAGACTTACATATTTTTTTAAATTTTTTAATTGTTTTCTTTCAGAGAGGAAGGGAGAGGGATAGAGAGTCAGAAACTGCTGGAGTCCATTCATTGTCTTCACTAGCTGAGTTTAGACAGAGACCCCCCAAAAGCTAGTAGCCCTTGAAAGTCCTAGTAAAGGTCAGGGCTGTGCACCACCCAGTTAATCTAGGAACCACCCAGTTAATTCAGGTAATAATAGTTGAAGCATCCCCCCCTTAGTTCACTTAATTCCTTAGATACTTATGTAGGTCCTTGTTGATTATTGTTAATCAGATACTCCCTGAAATCTATTGATGAGCTAATCAGATACTTTGTCTATTCCTGGAAATTGTCTGCTGATCTGTGTGTCATTGAAACCTCCTTACCCTAAGGGCTACTCCAGATCGATAAAAGCTTGGAGCGGCCTGAGCGTCTGGGGAAGTCCTTTGGGACTTGCCGCCTGGTCCCCCAATATTGCAAAATTATCTCGTGTCTTTTTCTCTCATTTGTTGTGCGGCTCCTCTTTCAGATACCGAACCCTACTCCATGCAGAACGTGGAGGGAGTCTTACTTGACAAGAAGCATCAATGACAGAGAAACACTGATCAGCTGCCTCCTGCACACTCCCCACTGGGGACGTGCCCGCAACCAAGGCACATGCCCTTGACTGGAATCGAACCTGGGACCCTTGAGTCTGCAGCCTGACGCTCTATCCACTGAGCCAAACCAATCAGGGCGAGACTTATATTTTTGATATTTATTTTATAGATTTAAATGCCATTTAACAAAGAACGATCAATCAAAAAATGAGTTTGCGTGTCACCTCTGACACGGGTGTCATAGGTTCGCCATCACTGCCCTAAGCCCTTGTTCCTATGTGGACCATACAGTAAGCCACCAATCAGCACGCGCCCAGTACACTGAGCCCTCATCCCTTCCCGTTCTGCCCCTCAGAAGGCGTGCCCGCCCTGCAGGTGCTGCCGCCCTCCCCTGGCGAGACAGCCCGGCCGGACTCTTTCCCCTAATAAAGCCTTAACCCTGGTTTTCGGCTCCCGCCTGGTCTCACACGTGGGAATCGGACCAGGGACATTCCAGTGCAGGGGTCGAACCTCAACCAACCGGGTCACACTGGCCAGGCCGGACTAGAGCTCTTGATGGCAGATGCAGCGCCCAGAGCACAGGTGGGAAATGTGGGGAAGGACGCTTTTCTCCCAGGAGAACGGAAAACAAAGTGAGAGCCGCCGTGAAGAGGGGAAAAACCAAAATTACATACAGGTCGGCTGTGGCCACAGGAAAGCCAAGTCCTTCAGAGGCCACTCACCAAACCTGTGCACAGTGCAGCTTGCGTCGCGGCCCATGCAGCTCCGTGGGGGTCGCTGCCTCTGAGAGCCGCCCTGGGGTGCAGCAGCACAGGCGCACCCACAACCCTGGCGGGGCCTGCGGGTCGGGCTGGAGGTGTCTGCAGTCAACAGGGCCCGGGGGGGGGGGGGGTGCGGAGTGTGGCTTGGGGTCCCACCCCTCCCAGCGAAGCGCAGAGGTCTGTCTGCAGAGCATGGGCTGGGCCCTGAGAACCAGAAGGGAGTGTCCGCCTTCACCTGGGGGGAGAGAAGCAGGAGCCCCGGGGGGGGGGGGGGGGGGGACGGCCCGGGAGCAGCTCAGAGGGAGGGGTGCGGGCCCAGCCCCTGAGCCTCAGCGGCTGAGGTTGAACTGGACCCTGGAGCAGGTCCATTCCAGGTGGAGGTTCAGGCCCGGTTCCGGGTTCCATCTCCGGGAGGCCGGGCGCGGGAGGCACCGAACCAGTGATGCTCTCTCGTCACTGGTGTTTCTCTCCCTCCCTCTCCTTCCTCTCTGACATCAATAAAAACACATTTTTAAAAAACAGCTGCGGTGCTTTGGACCAGGTGTTTGCAGGGTCAGTAAAATCTTGCCAACTGAATCTTTTTTTTTTGGTTTCCTTTTTTTTTAATGTTTAAAGTATTACAAATAGTGGTACATATGTCTCCTTTTTTTCCAGTGGACCTTCCCCCAGGCACCCTACACCCGTCCATGCCCTCACCCGCATCCCAGAGTCTCGGGTCCATTGGTTATGCTTACATGCATGCATACAAGTCCATGCTTGATGTCTTACCTACCCGCTGCACCCAACCCTCCCCAGACTTAGGACCCTTAGACACTAGGGCTTAGTGCATGCGACACCCCCTGCGGGCCTAGGTGGGGAGGGCAGTGGGAGGTGCCATGGGCGCCTGAGCGGTGATGGGCTCTGGGTCCCGGGGCAGGACCGAGGGGCCCAGCCGGTACCGCTCCTCCAACAGAAGTGCAGCCGGAACAGAGCGGCGCCTGCGCACCAGGAGGTCAGAGATTCAGAAACGCAGGTGCTGCCCAAGGACTCGCCCCCAGCACGGTCCTCACACTCCCTTCCGCGGCGGGACCCTCCGGAGCCAGGAGCTCCTGCGGGTGCGGGTGAGAGCCCTAGACTCCTGGGGGAGGCAGAGGAGTCGCTGGAGGCGGGGGAGCCCCTGGGGAGGTGTCCTGGGCGGAGGGTGAGCGGAAGGACGACCTCGGAAGCCCGGTGCCATCTGCAGGAGGGCTTCCGGTGCGGGGCCGGGCAGGTCCGAGGGGCCCTGGGACAATGTCCTCTGTGCTCGGTGCCCTAGGGGGGGTGGGTGGGCATAAAGGCTCTAAAGAGGGGGCGCTGGGTGGGGGGGGTGTGGCCGGCAGAGCTGTGCGGGCAGCGTGGTGGGTGCGGTGGGCGCAGCGCACCAGGTGGACAGGCGGGGTGCGGGCGGAAGGGCTGACCCGCAGGCAGGTGGGAGAACGCGGGGACTGAGTGGCGGTGGGCGGAGCAGGAGGGCGGTGGGCGTGGCCTCGTGAGGGCTCAGTGGGAGGGGCCGGGATTGGTGAAGAACCGCCTCCAGGGCGTCATGCGTGTGGGCGGGGCTAGGAGGTGGGCGGGGCGGAGGCGGGCTGAGCCGTTGAGGCGTGACTGGCGTTGCCCCAGAGGCTCTGGGAGGAGCCTGGAGACAGACTGGGAGGCGGGCGGGTGGAGGGGACCCTCCCGACCATGCCAGTCCCGGGCAGGTCCGGGGCGGGGCGAGGGCCCAGAGCAGGACAGACGTGCTCCCGCAGGGAGGATGGCCTGGCCGCTCCTGGCTTCGGATCCAGGCCCCTCCTGGCCTCTGGGCAGCGGGCAGGGGGCAGGTGGTGGTGGGCTCAGTCCCAGGGGGAGGCCCGGCTCTACAGGACCCTCCCCAGGAGAAAACACAGCGTTGTCACATACATGTGCTTTATTGAACGCCATTGTGCACATGTGCGTGGAGCAGCTGGGAAAGGGGGAGGGCCTCAGTCTTGGGGCAGGTGATAGGAACCCACGTAGCCGCGATTCAGTGCAGAGGTGTAAAATACGACGACCGCGATGATGACCGCAACTATGACAAGGAGGCCCAAGACCACGGCCCAGATGTTCAGGCACTTGGCGGTGGACGCATAGCTCTGGGCCCCAATCACGTCTCCCACCATCTTCCGGTCCCTAGACTGGGGGAGAAGGGATGGTGAGGGGTCTGGACGGCCCGGGGGACTGCCGGGAGCTGTGACTCAGGCCTGCCCCTGGCTCCTCCCTGCCCACACCAGCCTCCACCTGCCCTAAGCCAGGTCAGTGACCCCCTCCCTGTTCCCTGGAGCCTGAGCAGGACAGGCCAGGGGGCCACCCTCCCAGCCTCTCAGCATCTCCAGGGCCTCAGGGCTCCTCTCCCCCTGCCCTGGCCCCTTTGCTGGCCTCTCCCCCACCAGGGCTCAGGGTTTCCTGAGAACTTTTGTTTTCTAGCCAGAGCCCTGAAGCCACATGGTGAGTCAGAGGAGAGTAATTTCTGGTTAATCAACAGGATATTCCTTGGAGTCCAGGGGACAAAGGCTGACCCTGCTATTCCCAGGCAGCCTCACCGTGACCTGCACACACACACACACACACACACACACACACACACACACACACACACGTGGGCGCCTCAATCCCAAGGATCATCTGCGCAGCACACCTGCATGGGCGCCCACAGGCCTTCCAGGAAGCCCCCTTGCCTCCCCCCCCTCCCGCGCACCCACCTTCACGGAGTAGGCGAACGCCACGAAGCCCAGGCAGCAGGGGTTGAAGAAGAGGGTGTTGAACAGGGACCAGACGATGTGGTCGGGCACCACGGTGTCAGTCTGGATGTTGACCACCGTCGTCCTCGCTGCCATCGAGCTCTGGGGACCCCCCAGCACAGACACCTCGTGTTCCTCCTTGAGCACCTCATAGGATGGGGACACTCCGGCGCGGGCGCCAGAGAAGAAGGGCTGGGAGTTGGGGTTCATGGTGTCGGAGCAGAGCAGATGGCGCGCGGATGCCGGTCCCAGGATAACGGAGCCTCAGTGATACTTCCTTTCCCTGGTAGTTTCGTTTTCCAAAGTTGAGTTTGGCTGTGTTCCTGGAGGGCGTCCCTGGGAAGGGAGTGTCAGGTTGCACAATAGTCCAGCAGAGATAGGCGGAGGCCTGGGGAGGGCGGGGCGGGGAGGGGGGGGGGCTTCCTGTCCCAGTCACTCCAGCCAGGCCTGTCAGCTACCCCAGGTCCCCATTAGGGTGTGATGGGCCCGGGGTGTGTCTCACCCCCTGAAGGCGATGTTAAGGTAGAAACATTCAAACCTGTAAAGAATTTAATGAGCGTATTTGAGCCAAACTGGGGACCTATGATGCCGGCAAGCAGAACCGGAGAATGGGGAGTTCATACCTTGTTTTTATAAATTACCATCAAAAGGAAAATACTTAAGTGGGTAACAGGAAATCCATTGGTGATAGATTAGGGAGGTGGCAGAAAGCAAAGGCGGGGGTGGAGAACCGCTGGGAGAGGGTAAAAGTAAAATGATGGACATGTGCTTCTTTTACACAGAGGGCTGCAGGGTAGTTAACAGTTAGCAGTTGACTATTAACTTGATAACTAACCATGAGGGAATGTCCTGGTGCCATTTTTTGTGCCCTGAGGGGTCCGGGCGGGTGGGGGTGGGAGGGAAGTTACAAGTTACCCAGACATTACACAGGAGTGTTAATTTAGATGCAAAAAGACAATGAGCTCAGTAAAGATCTAAGTTGATCTTTGTCAGGGAAAATGCTGGCCGAGGACATGACTACCCACCATAACCTGTTTGTAGTTAAATATTCAATTTTCAGACCATCCTTTGTGGTTATTTTAGGTCTTTGAGTTTGCACAACCGCCATGCAGGCCTTCCCTGAGCTGGTCAGGTGAGTGTGTGGCCCCTTTCCTCCAGAGGGAGCAGCATTTGTCCCTGCACAGCATGCTTCTGTGACGTCAGGGGTGTTTTAGGCAAATTGGGTTTTTTTGTTTTGTTTTTTAAATATATTTTATTGATTTTTTACAGAGAGGAAGGGAGAGGGATAGAGAGTTAGGAACATCAATGAGAGAGAAACATCGATCAGCTGCCTCCTGCACACCACCTACTGGGGATGTGCCTGCTACCAAGGTACATGCCCTTGACCGGAATCAACCTGGGGACCCTTCAGTCTGCAGGCTGGTGCTCTATCCACTGAGCCAAACCGGTTAGGGCGAATTGGTTTTATTAATCAGAGAAGCTCTGAAAATGAAGTTGGATCCCCTTTGCAGGACTCACGCACAGGTTCTGGGAGTCTGTGCTGTCGGAAGAGGGGCTGGCCTCATCCCTGGCAGCTCCTATTGGTGAGGAAAAGAAGATATTTCTTGGGGGGTGGGGGGCCAGCAGCCTGACCCTGTACCTAGTTAATAAGTATCCCTAATGCACATTCCTGTTAGCCTAGAGCCATGGTCGGCAAACCGTGGCTCGCGAGCCACACGCGGCTCTTTGCCCCTTGAGTGTGGCTCTTCCACAAAATACCACGTGTGGACACGCACGTACAGGGCAATTGGCCCATGCGCAGAAGTCTGTATTTTGTGGAAGAGCCACACTCAAGGGGCAAAGAGCCCCATGTGGCTCTCGAGCCGCGGTTTGCCGACCACGGGCCTAGAGTCTACTCATTGCCCCTTCCTTAATTATCTGGTCTTCCAAGACCTATTTACCTAAATACTCCCATTTTACAGAGGCCATGAGCCATGAGCGATACACATCCCCAGGAGGGGGTTCTCAGCCCTGGCCCCAGGCCCGGCCTTTAGGTGTGGATCAAGGCCCCCATCCCAACACACGAGCTGTCTGCAAAGCCCGGGAAAGGTCCGGGAGTCTGACCCTTATTTGGGGGACAAAGAAACCAACGGGCATGAAGAGAAAGTTTCGTCCATAGCGGCTTGCTGAGGGTTGGAAACGCTCCCCCGAGTCACGGTGCTAGTGGTAGACCCTAGTACGTCGGGAAATAAACGGCATTTTCCTGTATCGCCAGGGACTCCTGTGTGTTTTTCGGGCGCCTGGTAAATCCTGTAACGCTATCCACGCAGAACAGGCAGAGGCAGGTCTGCATAAGTGCCTACCCCGTGTGCTCCCCTGGCCCCCCCTTTACTGGCCTCTGACACCCCCCCTGGTTTGAGTCCCGCTGGATGTTTGTGGTGGCATCGCGGGCCTTCCTTGGGCGGCTCAGTTTTCTGGGGGTCTCCCTCTGGTACACAGGGGGCACTGAAGTGATGAATCTCTTGGTTTCCTACTATTAATCTGGTTTGGGGTTTGTTTGTGTTACTACTTACCCAAGGACATTTTAGAATTGATTGTAGAGAGAGGTGAAGGGAGGGAGGGAGAGAGAACCATTGATGCGAGACAGGAGCGTCCATCGGTGGCCTCCTGTGCAAGCCCTGACCAGGGTGGAGCCTGAAACCTAGGCATGTGCCCTGACTGGGTCCCCAACCTGCAACCTTTTGGTGCATGGCCGGATGCCCCAACCCACTGAGTGACACAGTGCAGTGCTGCTGTGGTTCTGTGGTTCTTTCGGGGTGTCTCAGCCAGGGACCTCGCAGCGCTGCCATGCCCAACTGTGTGTGCCCGGCGCTTCCAAAGGTCAAAACTCAACGGGTCAGCGTTTGGAGAAAGGAAAAGCTGACTGAGCGAGAAGGCGCCAACCAAGATGCTGGACATCCCATCGGTTCCTCTACTCGGTGGTGTTCACTGGACTAGGTTCCGGGTGTTCGAGGGCTTGGGGGACGGTCATGGGAAGCCTGGAGGTCACCTCCTCATCCGGGGACCTTGGAGCTCGGGCCTTTCTGATAAGGGGCGTCAGTGTTGGGGGCCCCCAGACAGCAGGCCCTCTGGTTCTGAAAGGTCCGGTCCAAGGCCATGCTGCCCGGGTTCTCTGCTTCCGAGTGTGCACACGCACCGATTGGGGTTCTGCGTGCAGCTGGAGGCCAACATTCTCACCTCTGCGCTCGCTTGGGCGTGCGGCCTTGGTCTGAGGGCTCTGGAAAGCTGTTCAGCGTCTCGTTAAGTTGGGCAGCACCATTTTTGTTGGGGTCCAGCCCCAGCAGGTCCAGTGGTTCCCAAAGGTGTGGACGGAGTCGGCGAAGAAGGAAAGACAGGGAGGCAGAAGAAGGAAGGACAGGGAGGCAGCGTTCAGTTGATCAGCATAGCGAGGTTCTTTTTATTGTCCTGTTACATCTGTATTTATACCATTTGATCCTATAAGCATGCCTCTATAATCACATCATGGTATGTTTTGGGTAAGGTTCTACAGTTCCTTGTTTCTTATCTGACCTTTGCCAAATATCCTGTCTCTATCTAGTTCTGTTGATTTTAATCTTGTCTAGGTTAATCTCTGTGTTTCCGTTACAAGGTCACTGCTCTACTGATAAGCTACAAGGAAGTGACTGAAGGAGATTCTCCTGCCCAGTAAAGGTTATGTCCTCCCAGCCCCGCTGCTTGCCTTCCCTGGCACTGCCCTGTGTCGGTGGGTTTCCAGGGGGATAGGCTTTGGTGCTTTCCCTGGTGGGCAGACCCCTGGGGATGTGGGCCCAACCAGTCCCAAATTTATTGCCAACAGTCTTTGTCCAAGTTCTTCGTAAGTAGTACATGGTCTTTCTGTAACACTAGGGGGATTTATTGATTTATTCTCTTCCTTAGTCCTGTTAATCCCTAACCTGGGGGAACAACCTTTATCGGAGAGATGATCCTGTTTAAAACACATAGTGCTAAGAGGGGGAGCACACATATGCCATATACGCCAGGTCCCTTGAAACATAAGCTGTGCAGATGTTCCTTCCCTGCAGCGACTGCGTCAAGCAGCAAGGGTGGACCAGCTTCCGGCAAATTCCGCCATTTTTATTTTTTAAATGACATCATGTGTAAATCAGCGGCCACCTATCGGATTGGGTTGTTTAAGACTGGGAAGACCTGTTTGTGACTTTGCCAACAGGTCAGTCCGAGGCTTAACCCTATATCGGCTTCCCACACATTTTGAGCTGGATCTGCGGTCACAGAAGCGTAGAGAGAAAATTATTTTCTTACCGCAACCACCCTTGCCCTAGCTCAGGCCGAGCCTGGCCACAAACAGAAGTCTGGGTGTTCCCACACCAACACCCACTTACTTGAGGAGAAGGAAGGGCTGCAATCTGGCACTCGGGGGTGGGAGGTGGGGGGGTGGGGGGCAGAGGGAAGGCCCTGCCCTAGGAGCACAGGGAGAAGCAGCACTTTCTCTCCCAGGGGAAGAGGAAGTTCTGAGGAGGGACTGTCAGTCACAGAGCCCTGCGGTGACCCGTCCTGACCCCTGTTCGCAGAGGGTGGGACCGCGCCTCCCCCAGCCCCTCCTGCCTGCTGTTGGCATGAAGGTCCGCTAGCAGTCTGGACATTTCACCCAGCTGGTGTCAACCTATCAACCAAGAAGGCCCGCTGTGATTCCTGGTCAGGGCACATGCCCAGGTTGCAAGCTCGATCCCCGGTAGGGGGCGTGCAGGAGGCTCCCCCATCACTGATGCTTCCATCCCTCTCTCCCTCTCTCTCTCTGAAAGCAATATAAAGAAATTAAAACTGGACATTTCATCTTTTGATCAACTACGTTCTCTGGAAGCATCTGCAATCAACAATCAGACCTTCTGATTTCTGTGGCCTTTGATCCTCGCTGCTGGTGAGGACCTCTCTGGAGCCGTGTCGCCCTGGAGGGAAGGCACAAGGACCGACGTGTCCCTGGCCGGGTCTCCGCAGCCACAGGTGGGGAGCTCAGCCACCGCAGGGGCACACGGCACCCTGGCGTGGGGCTCAGTTGCCCAAGTGATGTCCCACGCACCCTAGGGCAGCGGTATAATTCGTGGTCGGGGCCCAGGCCCAGGTTTGGGGCTCGCTTCCCAGTAGCGGGCATGATTCTCTCTGCCTCTCTTCCTCTCCCTTCCTCTCTCTCCAAAAATCTATTTTAAAATATTTTTAAAGAGGAATACACAGAAAAGTTAGTTCATTTGATGACTCTGAGCCAGGAGCCCAAACCTGTAGGCTGTGAAATAGGACTTTCTGCCTTGACAAGATCAAAGCGCCTTTATTTTTTTGCTTATTCCTCAGCCCAGGGTATTTTCTCCACGGATTTCAGAGAGCGGAAAGCAGGAAGGGAGGGGAGTGAGAAAGACACATTGACTGGTTGCCTCCCACAAGTGCCCCAACGCAGGCTGGCTATCAAACTTGCACCCCAGGTACGTGCCCTTGACCAGGCATCGACCCCAATTCCCTCCTTGGTCAGGCCAATGCTCTAACCACATGGCCACACCGGCCAAGGCCCAAAGTTCATTTAAAAAAAAAAAATGTTTTTCTTCCTTTCAGTGACAGAAAGGGAGAGGGAGTGAGTGAGAGAAACATCCATGTGAGAGAGAAACATCTATTGGTTTCCATGTGCCCTGATGGGAAGCGAACCTGCAACCTAGGAATGCGTGCAACAGTGCCCTCCAGCTGAGCACACTGGCCAGGGGAGCCAGAGTTCTTGTGTTTTTTTAAAAATATATTTTATTGATTTTTTACAGAGAGGAAGGGAGAGGGGTCAAGAGCTAGAAACATTGATGAGAGAGAAACATCGATCAGCTGCCCCTCGCATGCCCCCCACTGGGGATGTGCCCACAGCCAAGGCACATGCCCCTGACCAGAATCGAACCTGGGACCCTTGAGTCCGCAGGCCGACGCTCCATCCACTGAGCCACACCGGTCAGGGGGAGCTCTTGTTTTTGTAAAATATTTTATTGGTTTCAGAGGAAGAGAGAGAGAAACATCAAGGATCAGAGAGAATCAGAGAATCAGGGATCAGCTGCCTCCTGCATGACCCCTAACGAGGATTGAGTCCGCAGCCCGGGCGTGTGCTCTTGACCTTAATCCAACGTGGGACCCTTCAGTCCTCAGGTGCCCGCTCTATCCACTGAGCCAAACCGGCTGAGGCCAGACCAAAGCACTTGATGGCAGATCCAGCAACCAGAGAACAGATTGGAAAATGTGGGGAAGAGCGTTTTCCCGCAAGAAGGAGGAGGACTGAAGTGAGAGGCGCTGAGAGGAACGGCTGCGGAGGCTCCCTCTGCTACGTGGACAACAGTCCTCTGGGGAGACCCCGCCTCCTCTGCGCACAGTGCAGATTCCGGCGACACCCCTGCAGCTCCGTGGGGGTCGGTGCCACTGAGAGCCGCCCCTGGGGTGCAGCAGCACAGGCGCACCCACCGCCCTGGCAGGGCGTGCAGGTCGGGCTGGAGGTGTCTGCAGTCCACAAGACCCGGGGGTTGCGGAGTGTGGCTTGGGGTTCCCACCCCTCCCAGCACAGAGCATGGGCTGGGCCCTGAGAACCAGAAGGGAGTGTCCGCCTTCACCTGGGGGGAGAGAAGCAGGAGCCCCTGGGGGAGGGCGGGACAAGGGGGGGCGGCCCGTGAGCAGCTCAGAGGGAGGGTGCGGGCCCAGCCCGTGAGTCTCAGCGGCTGAGGTTGACGGGACCCTGGAGCAGGTCCATTCCAGGTGGAGGTTCAGGCCCGGTTCCTGGTTCGATCTCCGGGAGGCTGGGCGTGGAAGGCACCAAACCAGTGATGCTCTCTCGTCACTGGTGTTTCTCTCCCTCCCTCTCCTTCCTCTCTGACATCAGTAAAAACATATTTTTAAAATCAGCTGCGGTGCTTTGGACCAGGTGTTTGGAGGGTCAGTAAAATCTCGCCAATGGACCCTAAAGGAGACCCTTAGTGCATGCGACTCCCCCTGCGGGCCGAGGAGGGGAGGGCAGTGGGAGGTGCCATGGGCGCCTGAGCGGTGATGGGCTCCGGGTCCCGGGGCAGGTCCGAGGGGCCCAGCCGGTACCGCTCCTCCAACAGAAGTGCAGCCGGAGCAGAGCGGCGCCTGCGCACCAGGAGGTCAGAGATTCAGAAACGCAGCCCGGCGAGCGCGGGGCTCAGCCCGCGGGCACGGTCGCCGCAGGCAGGTGCTGCCGAGGACTCGCCCCCAGCACGGTCCTCACACTCCCTTCCGCGGCGTGTGGAACCCAGGAGCTCCTGCGGGTGCGGGTGCGGGTGCGGGTGCGGATTTGGATGAGAGCCCTGGGCTCCTGGGGGAGGCAGAGGAGTCGCTGGAGGCGGGGGAGCCCCTGGGGAGGTGTCCTGGGGGAAGGGTGAGCGGAAGGACGACCTCCGAAGCCAGGTGCCATCTGCAGGAGGAGGGCTTCCGGTGCGGGGCCGGGCAGGTCCGAGAGGCCCTGGGACAACGTCCTCTGTGCTCGGTCCCCTAGGGGTGTGGGCAAAGGGCTCTAAAGAGGGGGCGCTGGGTGGGGGCGGGGGGTGTGGCCGGCAGAGCTGTGCCGGCAACGTGGTGGGTGCGGTGGGCGGAGCAGGAGGGCGGTGGGCGTGGCCTCATAAGGACGGAGACCTCGTGGGAGGGGCAGGGAGGGGTGAAGCACCGCCTCTAGGGCGGTCTTGCCTGTGGGCGGGGCTCGGACGTGGGAGGGGCGGGGCCGGGAGGTGGGGGAGGGGCAGGAGGTGGAGGCGGGGCTAGGGAGTGGGAGGGGCGGAGGCGGGGGGCTTGTACGTGGGAGGAGCGCGGCTTGAGGGTGGGAGGGGCGGGGCCGGGAGGTGGGGCGGGGCCAGGAGGTGGGAGGGGGGGAGGCCGGCTGAGTAGTTGAGGCGTAACTGCGTTTGCCAGGGAGACTCTGGGAAGAGTCTGCAGAAAGACTGGGAGGCGGGGCGGCTGGAGGGGACACTCCTGACCATGCCCGTGCAGGGGCAGGTCCTGGGTTGGGGCGAGGGCAGATGTGCTCCCGCAGGGAGGATGGCCTGGCTGTTCCTGGCTTCGGATCCAGGCCCCTCCTGACCTCTGGGCAGCGGGCAGGGGGCAGGTGGTGGTGGGCTCAGTCCCAGGGGCAGGCAGGGCTCTCACAGGACCCTCCCCAGGTGACAACACGGCGTTGTCACATATGTGGGCGAAAGGGACCACATGCTGACCCGACAAGCTCATGGGAGGCCTGCATGGCAGTCTTGCAACCTCAGAGACCTAAAGTAGCTACAAAGGATGGTCTGAAATTAAACTTTAAAGCAGTGATGGTGGGCAGTTATGTCCTTGGCCAGGATCTTCACTGACAAGGCCAGCCTTTACCTTAACTGAGCCTGTCTGTCTTTTTGCATCTATGGTAACATACCCTAGAAATGTCTGGGTAACTTGTACCTTCCCTTCTTCCACAGCCCCTGGGGCACAGTCTAATGTGCTGGGCGCCAGGACAGAGACCACCAACTCCTTCATTATCTTGTTAATTGATCCTACACCCACCTAAGCATGTCCATCATCTTACTTTTTATCCAATCCCAGGGGTTTCCCTGCTTTGCTTTATCCTTCCTCCTTAGTCTATCGCCAATGAATTTCATGGAACCCACCTACATCCCTCCTTTGATCTCAATGTATAAATACAAGTGTAACCCCGCCATTCTCCGGAGCATTACCTCAATTTGTTGAGGTTCTCCTTCCCGGCCTATGTCGCCAGTTTGGCTCCAATAAACTCACAAAAATTCTTTACAGGTTTCAATGGATTTTTAAGGTAACACATACATGTGCTTTATTGAACTCCATTGTACACACATGTGCGTATAGCAGCTGGGAAAGGGGGGAGGGCCTCAGTCTTGGGGCAGGTGATAGGAATCCCTGTAGCCACGAAGCACTCCAGAGGTGATAATCACGACCGTGATGATGACCGCAATTATGACAAGGAGGCCCAAGACCACGGCCCAGATGTTCAGGCACTTGGCAGTGGATGCATAGCTCTGGGCCCCAATCACGTCTCCCACCATCTTCCGGTCCCTAGACTGGGGGAGAAGGGATGGTGAGGGGTGTGGACGGGCCCTGGGGACAGCGGGAGCTGTGAGTCAGGCCGGGCTCTGGCTGCTCCCTGCTCCCTGCCCACACCAGCCTCCACCTGCCCTCAGCCAGGTCAGCGACCCCGTCCCTGTGCCCTGGAGCCTGAGCAGGACAGGCCAGGGGGGCCTCCCTCACAGCCTCTCAGCCTCTCCAAGGCCTCAGGGCTCCTCTCCCCCTGCCCTGGCCATTTGCTGGCCTCTCCCCCTTCCAGGGCTCAGGGTTTCCTGAGAACTTTTGTTCTCTAGCCAGAGCCCTGAAGCCACATGGCCATTCAGAGGAGAGTAATTTCTGGTTAATCAACAGGATATTCCTTGGAATTCCGGGGACAAAGGCTGACCCTGCCGACCCCAGGCAGCCTCACCGTGACCTGCACACACACACACACACACACACTCACACTCACAGACACACACACACACACTCACACACACACACACACACAAACAGAGAAACACACACACTCACACACATACACACACACTCACACACACACAGAGACACACACATACATACACACACTCACACTCACACACAAACACAGAGACACACACACTCACACACATACATACACGCACTCACACACACACAGAGACACACACACTCACACACATACATACATACACACACACTCACACACACACACACACACACACACACGTGGGCTCCTCAATCCCCAGGGTCATCTGGGCAGCACACTGTGGGGGCCCACACGCCTTCCATGTAATCCCCCCACTCCCGTCCTCCGCACCCACCTTCACGGAGAAGGCGAAGGCCACGAAGCCCAGGCAGCAGGTGTTGAAGAAGAGGGTGTTGAACAGGGACCAGACGATGTGGTCGGGCACCACGGTGTCAGTCTGGATGTTGACCACCGTCGTCCTCGCTGCCATCGAGCTCTGGGGACCCCCCAGCACAGACACCTCGTATTCTTCCTTGAGCACATCATTGGATGGGGTCACTCCGGCGTTGGCGCCAGGCACGAAGGGCTGGAAGTTGGGGTTCATGGTGTCGGAGCGGAGTAGATGGCGTGAGGATGCCGATCCCAGGATAATGGAGCCTCAGTGGTGCTTCGTTTTTCTGGTAGTTTCATTTCCCCCAAAGTTGAGTTTGCCTGTGTTTCTGGAGAGCGTCCCTGGGAAGGGAGTGTCAGTTGCACAATAGTCCAGCAGAGTGAGGCCAAGGCTTGGGGGGCTAGGGGGTAGGCGGCTTCCTGTCCAGGTCACTCCAGTGAGGCCTGTCAGCTACCCCAGGTCCTTATTAGGGTGTGATGGGCCCGGGGTGTGTCTCACCCCCTGAAGGGGATGTTTAGGTAGAAACAATCAGACCTGAAAAGAAATTAGTGAGTTATTTGAGCCAAACTAGGGACTTATGATGCCTGGAAGTAGAACCTCAAGGAATTGAGATAATGCTCCATAGAATGAGGAGTTCATACCTTTTTATAAATTACCATCAGAAGGAAAATACTTAAGTGGGTAACAAGAAATCCATTGGTGCAGCTCCGTGGGGGTCGGGTGCCTTCTGGGCTGTGCCTCTGAGAGCAGTCCTGGGGTGCAGCAGCACAGGCGCACCCACCGCCCTGGCAGGGCCTTCGGGTCGGGCTGGAGGTTTCTGCAGTGGACAAGGCACAGGGGGTGCGGAGTGTGGCTTGGGGTTCCCACCCCTCCCAGCACAGCGCCGAGGTCGGTCTGCAGAGCATGGGCTGGGCCCTGAGAACCAGAAGGGAGTGTCCGCCTTCACCTGGGGGGAGAGAAGCAGGAGCCCCTGGGGGTGGGGGGGCGGCCCGTGAGCAGCTCAGAGGGAGGGGTGCGGGCCCAGCCCGTGAGTCTCAGCGGCTGAGGTTGACTGGACCCTGGAGCAGGTCCATTCCAGGTGGAGGTTCAGGCCCGGCTCCCGGTTCCATCTCCGGGAGGCTGGGCGTGGAAGGCACCAAACCAGTGATGCTCTCTCGTCACTGGTGTTTCTCTCCCTCCCTCTCCTTCCTCTCTGACATCAGTAAAAACATATTTTTAAAATCAGCTGCGGTGCTTTGGACCAGGTGTTTGGAGGGTCAGTAAAATCTCGCCAATGGACCCTAAAGGAGACCCTTAGTGCATGCGTCTCCCCCTGCGGGCCGAGGTGGAGAGGGCAGGGGGAGGTGCCATGGGCTCCTGAGCGGTGATGGGCTCTGGGTCCGGGGGCAGGTCCGAGGGGCCCAGCCGGTACCGCTCCTCCAACAGAAGCGCAGCCGGAGCAGAGCGGCGCCTGCGCACCAGGAGGTCAGAGATTCAGAAACGCAGCCCGGCGAGCGCGGGGCTCAGTCCGAGGGCACGGTCGCCGCAGGCAGGTGCTGCCGAGGACTCGCCCCCAGCACGGTCCTCACACTCCCTTCCGCGGCGGGACCTCCGGAGCCAGGAGCTCCTGTGGGTGCGGGTGCGGGTGCGGGTGCGGGTGCGGATTTGGATGAGAGCCCTGGGCTCCTGGGGAGGCAGAGGAGTCGCTGGAGACGGGGGAGCCCCTGGGGAGGTGTCCTGGGCGGAGGGTGAGCGGAAGGAC